TACAATTTATTACAACACATTAAGCCAACTACTAATTAAATACGAAAAATGAGTGGCTTCGTCATTTCTATTAACCTTTTTGGCGAATATGACAAATTTGATGAATGGGATGGATGCAGCTGAAGAAAAAGAAATTGAATAAATGGCACTGTACATTGAGAGATTCTAAAAACTAATTTTCTTAAAGTTGAAACTACGCCACTAATGCTTTGAATGCTCCCCACAGGGGCCTTAAGCTGTTGTTCAATCCACCAAAGCAGCAGGAGTATAAACAACGAAAGCTTAAACTGTCTGGCGGCCATTGTTAACTGTCATTTAACTGAATTCATGATGACCAGCCTCGACTATCCTCATAACTCTGATTGGACCTTGAACTCAGTGTTTCATGATATGCCACTTAATCTAGTAAGAAAATACTGTACCACATTCAACTCTGTTTGACAGCTTTGCATGCAGGGGAACTGGTAGCTCACCATAGCATTTTTTTTTATGCTCCAGAGGATGTCAGCCTGATGCGTTATCCACCGACTACTAATCGTGAGGACCCAAATGACTCACACACTGAAAAATGAAGGCTTTTTACAATGGCAAGGCCCAAGGACCCTCAATGTCTTGTTGCAAGTTTTAGGAATTATAATTCAAAATGTTCATCAGACCTTAGAGCACTTTACCTCAACCCAGGGAGTACTATGCAGTCCTAGGCTATGCTGGACTTGTAGCTATATTTCAGTTGCTGTGTGTATTTGTTTTGTTGGATGAAAAATGATTCAGTTTTTTATTTTTGTTGATACTATTTAGACTTTTTGGAATTCAGCAATATTAGTTATGTTTGGAGGAAGGGAAATAGTGAGGATGACCCAAAGATCACCATCCTCATAGTCAGTATGGAAGTGGAAAGATTATTCTTAGGTGATGCTTTTCTGGTACAAGACAACTTCATCACATTGAGAGGCCAGTGGACCGAACCGTGTACTGTAAAATCTTGGATGACAAACTTCTTCTCTTAACTAACTACAAGAAACGTCTTACAGGTGTCCTTTGCAACAAGGGTTTATCCACCAAGTCATATTTTGCTTGAGTATCACATACTTATTTTACCCAATGACATGTTGTGGATTTTTGGTTGATATCCTGTGTCTCCAAAATGAAACTACCACTAAAATTAGAGAGTGTTTATATTTTTATAAGTGAGCAAACTTACTAAATCAGCAGGGGCTCAATTAATTGTTTCACCCACTGTACCTGCCATATTGATGAGCGCCTGTAGAACCAGCTGTTGAGGCATGCAGTACTATCTTTCTAATTTGCAAATCTTATCTCACTGTCAGGAAACCGACTTTTTTTGGGGTGGGGGTGTCAGTTCACTTTCCTGTATTTTTGAAGGTGTTCAGGTTGACCTTCTATAGGTTATGTATTGCATTAGCTAAAATATGAATTTAGAGTATTCTAATGAGGATTGTGAAAACTGAAAAAAAAATGGGATGAAACTGTTGGGTTGTATTTTTTTTTTTTGCCCTAATCAATCAAGGCGCTCTTGCTTATGCAGATGATGCTGATGCTAATGGTGCCAGGCTCACTCTGTGTTCCTATCAATTAAAAGGAAGTGGTCAGCAATTTATCATCCTCCATGTAACATGCCATGTTGTGTAATGCTCTGTATGCAGAGTGTGTGCGTGCAGATTTGTGTTTGCTTTAAATCCTGAAAATGTACATGATTTATTTTGTACAATTACGCAAAACACAGAGTAGACTTGCTTAACTGTGTGCTGTTTTAATCTAGAAAAACCATTAGAAGTAAAGAGAGGATATATACACAGACCTCCCTCTCGCGCCTGAGAATAATGATTTTTTAACCACCTTCTAACAGAACCAATCTTGGGAATAATTTTTGTCATAACTGGAAAGTCTATTCCTGCTTGGCAGGGGTATATTTGAATTGATTACAGCTGTGGAGGGAGATAGGGGAATCACCTTCCTCCACTGACAGTACAGTTTGGGTTACAAACCGGAGATTTGCATTGCATTATCCGTCACAGTTTTCATAGGCTTTATTCTGTTAAAGTGCCAGGGGTCTTTTGAGGACATATCTACAGTAGGAAAGTAGCAGGAGTTATTGTTGAACAGTAATAAGTCATTCAGGCTGTGGCACAAGATACTGAAGGGAATCTGTCATGCTTTAGAAACATGCTGACATTGCTGAGTTTGATAGTATTCAGTATATTGACAGGTTCAAGGACAGGCTGTATAATAATAAGAGATTTGTCCCAAGAGGATGTGGTATTGTGCACCAATTTAGATGCTTGCGGTAACAGCTGCTTATCAAGGTTATAATGATGCATTTACATGTAGTTTTTAAAGGGAACACCATAAAAATGTGGCATTATTGGTCCTCAGAATTGGGGACTTAGAAGAGGTAGAAATGTGTTGAGGCTAGGATAACCTGAGAGCAGCACAAACTACTGTACTGTATTTTTTAATTAAAATTATGTAAAATTATGAAAATGATTACATTGTAAATGTTATGTCTCTATAGTATTTTAGTTCAACTTCAGTACAGTTCAAATATGGTGGAAAAACTTTCATATGACAATCTAGTTTCCCTTCATTCTAAATATCTGCTACTATAGTGTATCTTTTTTTCCAAAATGTGTCATTTGACCGAAATGTGCTTTTCTTTCACAATTACCCTGAAGGTAAAGAAGCCTGCTCATATCAGACATGACAATTCTAGTCTAAGTCTAAGCAGTACATTATATGCTTGTAAGCTTCATATCTCTGTCAGTCCTTCATGTCCTAGGAATAGCATGCTCCGTATTTGAATTTGCATATGACTTTGCGAGTTTTTATAGATTTAAAAGCATCCTGTGTTTTATGAATCATCCTTTTCCTGTCTGGAATACCATTTCACAAATGAAAAATATATCAGACTCAGTGCAGAAGATGGAAAGGGCCCCTCATGATTTATTCATTCACACAGAGTGAATTTAACACTTTTAATGTTACGGAAAGCCATTTCAGCTCCAGCAGGAAATTTGACATCACACAACACAGCATATTAACTAACGTAACTTATTTATGGCTGAATTTGAAGGAAAAGGGCTAGTTCCTAAAAAATAAATAAAAACAAGAGAAACAGGAGCTCATATTTGTCTCATAAAGTGAATAGAAAGTGCAGAAAAGGAGCCAGTTTGGTGGGTTGAGCGCAAAACGGTACAGCTAGGTCAGGGGTCAGCAACCTTTAACATCGAAAGAGCCATTTGGACCCGGTTTCCATGCAAAAGAAAACACTGGGAGCCGCAAATACTTTTTGACATCTAAAATGAAGATAACACTGTATATATTGTTTTTTACCTTTATGCTTTGTGTGAACAACTAAGGTGTGTTGCTTATGAAATCCACAAAGTGCTACAGAGAAAGTTACATTTTATTTATGTAATTAACACATTTTGAACTCTTAAAGAAATATAACAAAAGGAAAGACACCCAGCTGAACTAAAATGATCCATGTAGCAAACAAAAACTGTTGTGAGCCGCCACCCTCATATCGCCTTTGGGCTTTTGGAGCCTTGACCTGACTTTTAAAAAATAATTGGAAAAAAAGCACTATGCTGCTAAAAAATGAAAAATTGATATTTGCAAAATTCTGTCTAAATATGTATTTTACCAGGTTAAGGTGTGTGGCGGGGCGTGGTCTGCAGCGCCGCTGTAGGGGAGGCGGACGCACCTGAGCGGCACCCGCAATCACGCCTCGCACCGGCTTCCGCGAGTGTGACGCTTATTTTGAGCGATGAAAAAATAATAAAATGTAATTTTATTTTTATATTTCAATATCACAACAATCTTCCAATTTAGAAGTGCAAGTTTTTAAGAACTAACATAAATAAAATACACTTCAGCTAAATACTTATTTTTATTTTCCCAAACCACGAGGAGCCGCACTATAAGGACTAAAGAGCCGCATGCGGCTCCGGAGCTAGGTAAATGACAGTTTCACTGTGTATCTGCATGTGGAAAGACAGAGTGCGTGAGTGAGGATGTCTCCATCCACTTTGAGAGGTACAATTTTCTGGGCATACCTCTGGCTTCATGCTATCTTGTTGACAGAACTAAATTGATGTGATTTGATGGTGCAGCAGCACCCACACTGACAAAAATAACACCACTCCCTGCCAGTTTCTTCCTTAACAAAAGCAGAGATAAAATACCCAGATACACTTACATTTTGTATGCCTTCGAATGGAAACAGAAAAATAAACAAACCCAGTGCTTTAGGATCCAATGACTTAGATTAAACTTTCGCTGACATGACATGTCTCAGCTTCATTTCACATTTTTACCTATTGCTAAACAAGAAAGTAAAAATGAAATATCCCCTCTTAAACATAACCCCTTTAAAGGCACCAAGTGTATTTTAATAAGGAGCCAAGTGGTTAGCAATGCACATAGTCTTCAGTGGGATTAAGAGGCTTTGAATGGTTGAGGCCATTAAAATCTACACCAGCCCAGAAGTCCTGGAGCGCCTTATGAGTATCATTAGGATTAACAAACCCAGCCTGTGAAAGCTCTCACCCCAGGAGCATAGCCACCTCTACCCTTGCACCATTATTGTGTTTGGCTGAGTGCCTGATAAGAGTGATTCAGCAGCACACGATAAAGCTCTGGTCCCAGTTTATCTGTTTAAGCTTTCATTTCACTGGCCATCCCCAGTGAAATGTGACAACAGCAAGATCTGCATCCACCAATTCATCTGTGTAAAATAAAAAGCTATGGTTTCTATAGGCCGAGTACAATGGCCTTTAATTCTAATACTGCAAACACATTGCATGACATGAGCAAAGAATAGAGCCAGAAATCTTTGAAATGCTTGTGGAGGAAGAAAATCTTCTTTGTGCATGTGTGTGTGCTTTGCGTTCTAGAGAGATTTCAGGGATTTGACCATCAGCATGTTGAGTCATCATTCACTAACTCATTTCCTGCGTCCTTCCTCTTCAACTCCTCAGATCTTCCACATGACCTATGACCTAGCCAGCGCCATGGTACGAATAGTCAATCTAATCGGCATGATGCTGCTGCTCTGTCACTGGGATGGCTGCCTGCAGTTTCTGGTGCCCATGCTCCAGGACTTCCCTGCTGACTGCTGGGTGTCCAAAAATAAGATGGTGGTAAGTGCTTCTCCTGCACACAGTCCTCCTGCCTGTTCGAATCAGATTATGCTCAGTCTTATCTTGTCTGTCAGCCTCAGTAATTACTGTTCTAAAACTCTTCAGCTTCCTGGGTAAGACTGCCTTCCATATCTGTCATTTTAAACCCTAAGTCAAATATATTTATCTGCTACATTTGTCCACGTTTATTCAATTTACTGATCATTTTTATTTATTTGGAGCTCTTGACATTTGTCATTATTGTGAAAGGAGGATGTGCATGGAACATTGACTTTCTGAGGGAGACAGCTATCCCTTATCCAATATTGGCTGGATATTGACAGTTTCCAGTGAGCACACATGCTGAGCTTTAATTTTGTTGTTTTGCTGAAACAGCTGCCAGAATAGTGGGTCACCGGAGATCTCTTTTTTATTAGCTCAAGGGAGGGGGCTGCATCACCGTGGTTATTCTGTTCACCCAAAACTGATGGTCTCATGTCAACTTGTGACGTTATAAAGTCATTCAGATATTGTCAGATTTTGGGGGTGAGAAGTGGTCTGAGTTCAGTGAATATTCATTACCACACTGGAGCTTGACCAATATCTCAATCAGCTGATATAATTGCTTGGTATTAGCCTACGGCAACATCAATACTGACTCCAAAAATTCACAATTAGTGCGCTCAAGTCTTCTACAGCAATACCACCTACCCCATATAGGTACACTAGTGAATTCTAGTAGATTATGTACTCACTAAATTCTCAGACTGTGAGACTGCAGTGAAATTTAGACACAAAGGTTCTTACTACACCACTTACGACTCACTTGCTTAACAAAGCAAGTGAGTAATACTGCGTGACATACCATTTGATTATTTAGCAGTTAGCATTAGCTCTGTTCCCCTGGCTCATTGAAGTGTTTTGTGGTTTTTAGTACTGACAGATATACTGTATGTTCAGTGAGCTAATCCTGAGTGTCTTTTTAAACCAATTGTCTGTCTTTTGGCCATTTACAATTTTTTAGTATTACAGTTATAATAAATTGCAGCATCTACCTATCGTTGGCTTACACTCTTACCAAACAGCCCCATTAATGAATCAATAGTGAGAGTTTAAACTGATTTCAAGTTTCAGCAGGCTAAAGTTTCATGTGTAAGGGAATATATGTTTTCTAGACAGAATAAGTTAAATTGGTTTGACATATATATTATTTTCAGCAGAATTTGATAAATATTTACTACTTATTTATTTACTTCAATAGTTACTAATAAAGTAAACAAAAAGGAAATATTGAGTAACCATACATTTAAGGACTAACAAAAAAAATCGTACACAAAATCTCAGTTTGAAATATATATAAAGCTGCTTCAGTTCAACTGTGAGTTCAGCTCTCCATGCCGGAACAAATGTCACATAGTTGCATTGCTCAAGGTATGATCTATTTGGTTAAGCATGCCTCGCTGCCTCCCTGACATGCTCACTTGTTTCACTGAATCTGCCTCACTTATATTTAAGCATAAGAAACAGCAGATGTTGAAAACTACTGTCCCTTGAGATGTTTCACGCTTAAGATAATTTTAGCTCGTTTTCTACATGTGTCTCATTGCAGAGATGCACACTCAAAACAGTGGCTCCATTTCGTGGACAGTGTGAAAAAAACCTTTAATCAATCTCCCAATCTAATCAAACTCTGTGTTTAATTATCTTTTCGAGAAAAGATTAAGATTTCTGTTGCATTGTTCTCTTCCAGTTCTATATTTTTTTCGCCCCTCTTTGCTACAATTATAAATACATTTCACCCCCACTTTGATATTTCATACATTAAGCAAATGTGCAAGCGGATTATTTTAAGTTACATAAGGCTGAGCTGTCAGGATACATAATGTAAACTGTGGCTCGTGATTAAGGTTCAAAAAGAATGCATGCATTAAGACAGAATTTGATGTCTTGCTTTGCGACACAGAAAACTAGGATATGATTGCTGTGCTAATCTCTTTGTTTTGTTCTGAAAAACATATTTGAACAGTGTATACATTGAACAATCCGATATAACACCACAGGCTACATGAAAACGCAACAAAGCAAAGCAGATTTAAAAGTCATGTAAAATAAACCAATCAAATTTTCCTGCTACGTGCGAGTATTTTTAGATAAATGTTATTTATTATACTTAGTACCAAAGCTTACTTTTACCCAAATCTAATTTAGATGTAAGTGAAATGATTTTCAAATGTAGTAGTACCATTATCTCTCCATCTCAGTGACTCTAGCATATGACCTGCCAAATTCCTTGTCGCTAGTTGATTTGATGCAGTTCTGACTAGATTATATTTGGGCATTTACTCTTTGTCATGTTGTTACAGCTCAGAGTTCTGTATCCATAACTTCAACTGGCTGCTTCCTAAGACTGCAGCTCCCAAATGCATCCAGTGTAAAGAGGCCCGGAGATGTGAAGGAAAAAGATTCATAATGTACTTACTTTAAATCCCTGTGTGAGGGATGTAGCCTCTTATTAACATCAAAATGGAGTTTGTTTTGTTTCACACAGTAAACACTGTCTAATTAATTGCATTACGTACAACGGTTTTCAATGTGACAGAATAACAAATATATTTTTTTCTGAATTAATTTAAGCCTCAGGGCAGGCATTTCTCTGTTGGAAAGCACCTCGTGTTTTTGCTCACATTACCTGGTAGAAGAAGAGGTTGTTAGTATTGATAACTGTGATTCAGTCATGGTTGGTTTGACTCTCATTCGAATTATTACAGATTTTTTTTTCTTTTTTCCTTTTTTTGTTTTTTACAGTAGCTGTCCTATTATCTTGCTAGGTTATCACTCCTTACATTTCCAGGAGGGCACTAATAAAATTGCTATCGGTCCCGGCTTTTCCAGTGTGGAAATGAGTTTGAAAGCAATTTGGACATGTCACCCCCAGGAGAGAGTTGATATTGATTTGCCATGAACCACCACCGGGAACTAAAGGAAAAGGGGCAATTTATCTACAAATTAGAAAACTCACAGAGAAATCACATTTTTCTAAATAGCTGACCTACTTTCTGTCATGCAAGCCTCCAGTGTCTCACGCTCTTTCTCCTGATTCCCAGGGCTCTGTTTTAGGCGGCTACCCAAATGTCTGCTTGCTCCAAATGTTTGCATACTGAAAAGTATATTTTACCCTGCCAGCTGCTCTGTACTGGACTGAGAGAGTTTGAAATGGACATCTGCCATTAGTTTTGTCTTAAGTAATTGCATGTGTCTGTGAATGTTCATGGGCTGCCAGGGTGCTCTTTGACCTGAAATGTGCCATCAGCAGCCGTGTTGAGATTGCAAGAGAGCAAGCGAGGAAGTGTTCAGATGTTCTCACCCTAACTCACCCTGTCTCCTCTGTTTCATCTAGAATGACACATGGGGACAGCAGTACTCCTACGCACTTTTCAAAGCTATGAGCCACATGTTGTGTATTGGGTATGGCATGTACCCCCCAGTGGGCATGACAGACGTGTGGCTGACCATCCTCAGCATGATTGTGGGTGCTACTTGCTACGCCATGTTTGTGGGCCACGCCACTGCGCTAATCCAATCTCTGGACTCATCTCGACGGCAGTACCAGGAGAAGGTGAGTCAAGATGACATGCTATTGATGGTTGTGTTGTCTTGATTTACTTCAAAGAGAGGACAGTGGTGTGGATGCAGGATGCTGGCTTGTGCTCAGTTTAATACTCGTTTTTAGCTTTTAATGTAGCAAGTTTAATTTGATTGATATTTACATATGGCCCCAAACTGACACACAGACAAATACAGTATGACAGTATGGTTCTGCTGAACTGGGGGTTTAACAGTCTAACACTGTGGGCCACAACCCTTCATAGTTAATATAAAAAAATATAGATATTGAAAAGTATGAATTTACATCAGACCTAAAGTATATATGTTTGTCTTTCTGCTTTCTTGCCTGCTCTTTCTCTCACTATGTGGGAAGTGTGCCCCCTAGTCAAAAACCTATTTTTAACAACTGTGATGAAACATAATTCAAATTTTATTGGAACATATGACAAGGCTTTACTCTCAATACTAATGTATCATAGATCAGTGATAATGAGCATCGTCTCATCATCTTTTCATTACAGAAACAGCCTTTTATTCAGGTGAGCTTTAATGGGGGTTTAAATCATTTATAACACTAAATAAGTATATTTTAGAAAGGCACTAGATATATGTTGTGTTTTTTTTCTTTGCCAGCAAGAAGCAAAATGGTTAAAAATTAGTCCTCATTTTCTACATAATGTATAGACACAGAAACCCAGATTTCTCTGGTTTAGGGAAAGGAAAGCCCTGATGGCCTATGAAGCCCGAGACATGTTCCACACTGCCATGCCCTCTGTGGGCCCAGCGTGGGCGATAATGAGCTGAACTGCTCGCCTGCCACATTACCCACTGTCTGTAGCGAGTAAGAGACAGGAGAGAACGACCTCCAGGGAATGGAGGCACAGGTTCGAGAGATCGCACCTAAATGGAAAATGAAAGTGAAAGATTTCAGAGAAAACAGGACCAGGCACACAGGCAGAGGAACAGATTAGCTAATGTAATGTGTGAGCAGGACTTGTTCAAAAGGAGAGAAACTGCACTGGATAAATTAACACTTTGTCATTCTAGGGAATGAGTAACAAATAGATTAATTTCACAGTTAAAAAGTTGAAAAATCCAAAAAAGTTTAGCATGTAAGTTCATGACTAATACTGATCTGAGAAGCTGTTTAATGAAACGGGGGCAAACCAGCTCCCACCACGACATGTCTGTCGCCTCTGCTTTTGAGATGCCATGCTGCCAAGTAGACTGAACAGCTGGTCTGCCTCAGCACCAGTCAGCATGTGCTACAGAAGCCCTTGGCTGCCATTTCTGGGATCGCCCCCTAAGGCGCCTTAAGAATCCCCCAGCCACTTGAAAAGTTTCCCCTGTTTTCCCACCGGTTCCCACAGTGTCTGCGTGCAGAAGCGTTATTACTGCCGACTGCAATTAATTTTTAAGAGTCCAGATTCTCTCATTTATCTTTCCACAAGGCTCAGTGATAACGCATGCTCAGAGTACACTGTCACTGTGTGCTCATTTGGCTCTGGGAGCAAGATAGTAGTGATTTCTACTACACAGCACTGGACCCATTTCTCCTTTCTCCTTATCAGAGTTAGTTCATTCAAAGACATAAACCTTTTTCTCATATCCTGTTGCATCAATTGTGTGACAATGGGATCTGCTTGCTGCAGATTTTCCTTTTCCCTTTAATACCATAATCCACACACTCAAGAAGCTGGAAATCCATTGGCAATCCATAGAGGTTTGAGAAGTCTGGTGGCTGTTTTCATATGGCCGTTGGGCTGCCATGACAGGGACAGCTGTTCTAGTCTGTGGGGACTCAGACTTCATATAAATCTCCTAGCAGAGCTGCCATCACCAAAGCCAACTGCCAGCCTGCCATCATACAGGAAGTTATTCTAAACATTTTGGTTTGACTGAGTGAGTCAGTGATGCCCCATAAGCTTGGTTGCATCCCTTTAAATACTCAGGTCAGGGTGTGATGAAAGGTATTTGCATTTTCAGTAAAATTAGTTGACCTTTTTAAACTGTTCACAGTGTGAGGCTTTGAATATGACAAAGATGAGGTTCAACTTAATAATTACAAATAGTGTTAGCCCTACATATTTGCATATGACATGGCAATATAACATAAAAAGTGGTTGTTCAGGTGTTAGCTGTGACATGATAAATAAGAGGAATTAAGGAAAAGAAAGAAATAGGCAACATAAATTAGAAAATATAATGGAAGCTTGGAAATATGCAGCTGTAATATATATATGGCAAGATCTACAAAAACGTCAACACAATAATCATAACATTCATGTTCTAATTTGAATTTGTTTTAATAACATATTCTGTAATTATAACCTGAATAAAAAAATGGACAACATAGGCATAAAATATATTGCCATGCATGCACATCTTTGTTAACTCATCAGAAATAAAAAAAGGACCTCTTTTACTCAACTGTTTCGAAAACTTAATTGAAACACATTTTTTCATAACTCAGTTTATTCAAAAACTGGCAGCATGGTGGTGTGCTAGCTGTGGCCTGAGATGAGATTATATTAAATGATGATCCTAAAGTGGCCATAACATTGAGTCTATCTCTCAATGTTATCTCTGTGAGAGATTGGCGACCTGTGCAGGGTGTTTCCTGCCTCTCGCCCAGAGCTGGGATAGACTCCAGCCCAACTGTGACCTTGAATTGGTGTAAAGTAAAGTGACACTTTACAGTCTTCTGTTATGATATATGATAGTTTACAAAAGTCTTTCCTTCAGTCTGATTCACAGGCTTTGCCAATTTTTACAGAAACCATTTCTGTTGTTTTATGAAATCTCTATCTTCATATCTATTTATGGAATGGGATTTCTAAAACCTTTGAGTATAACACATTTAAGAGGGCTGAAAAACAAACTCTGTTACAGATATGTAGGTATGTATTGTTGGTCTCTTGTAAAAATCACACTGTTTTATACCTAGTTTGGTGTGCTGACTTAAGCGATGGATAGCTGATTTTGGACCTAAAAACTAAAAGATAATACACTTGGATTCAGTAGAAAATGTTGCCAGTAACTTGTGTTGATTGTTTGAAAGCTGAAAAGGTCCTGTAGTATTTTTCTTTTCTTTTTATTGCTTGGAAGCTTGACACCGATATACCAGCGATGTTGTAAACTACACTGCAAAACTGCATAATTTACATGCACCAACAGTGCAAAGTACTTTGAATTATGACTTATCTCTAATGCAGACACTATGCAGTCCCATTAATCATAATGTGCTTTATGCTTCCTATTACGCAGTTGTACTACCACGAAAAGCTGGATACATGCTCTAGTAGGCAGATATATTGTACTATATGGCTACTGTGATTGTGCTGCAGATGACACTGGACCTGAGCCGTCCAGCAAACAACCACATGGCAACAGCACAAATATTGCTCTCACAGTGGGGCTGAAGTAGATACTGACCACTGTTTAATGATTGAAAGAAATGCAATAATGGATCAGTGTTGAGCCGAGCAGCACTGATACCACATTTACCACATGTGCTCTATTTATCAGCTGCTAATTAGTTGTAAAAAAAAACAAAAACAAAAAAAAAACAACCAAAACCAAAAAAATAAATAAAATCAGACTCTTGTGCATATAGCTATATGTCCAAGATGAGAGGCCACCTGTCCAGTTGGCATGCAGGCATGATATCAAAGTAACTGGTCAGATGGACAATGATTAAAAAAAATCCTTTATGCAGGATTCTCAGAAGTGTACACATGGGAAAGAGGAAAGGATGGTGAGGGGAGCTCTGCTTGCAAAGATGGTGAAAATTACCATCAGAAAGCTGGGTATAATCTTTTCTGAATAGAATTCTATTAAATGTGGCACCATGTGATAAATGGCTGGGCTGTCAGATGGTAGCAAGCAGACTCAAATGAGCTCTTATGAAGCAGGCAGCATGTTAACTGTTACACCAAGTAGAGAGCACAGCAATTACACTACATATTCTGGGAGTTGGGGGAGCTGAATTGTAGTTTCCACTGAGATAAAAATAAATAAATGAAATAAAATATATTCTTGTCAACAGCTGTTAACTGTGTGTAAACAGATTAAGTAGTTTACATTCACTATGTGTTTGCTACTTAGCAGATACACCATATATCACATGTCAGTGGAAAAGAGATAGATTGCAGCCAACTGGAGCTGAAATTGGGACAATCTTTATCATTTCAAGTCAGCACCTGAAGGATGGTCACTGAGTGGTTTCTTCTGGATAGTGATGCATTCTGTGGTGTCTTTATTTGAACTCTACCCTCCCTGGTACAACACTGAGTTTCAATATTGCTTGTTTTTCAGATCAAAACATGAATAATTTGCTTTATTATTATTATTATTATTAATAATAATAATAATAATAATAATAATAATAATAATAATAATAATAATAATAATAATAATAATAATAAATGGGACAGCTTTTTAATTTTTTTTTACCAGCAATTTTATGTCATTAACCTAACTGTTGTTTACTCAATGGGTTATAAAGAAGGAGAGTGCTCCACAACTGTATATCTAACTGTACTTGTTATTTTATACATTGACCAGCTATGTTATACCACACTGTAAAACAACATGAGCTGGAATCAACCAGCCAGTTCATTTTTTTTAAAGTGCAGTATCACCATGCAGTGTAATCCCATTACACTTTACACTTAAAGAAAATTCATGAGAAAAAAGTAAACTGCAAGTTTATATTTTTAATCAAATAAAGCAAACTGCCTTAAACATCAGTGTTAAGAGGATGTTGGAATCGGAGGGGTTAAGCATCAACCAGAATCCCACAAGAACTCTCCTCTCGTGTCTCAGGCATGTTGAGAATCATTATCACACAAAGAAAATTACATCTCTCCAGATTTGGGGCACAAGATGGCTGCACATGTGACTGTGCATACAGGGTATGCCTGCCACTCTCTGTAAGCTGCTGCTTATCTGTCACTTTGGCTCTCTACTGTGGTAAATTATATAGTACACAGAGACAGAGATAGAGAC